AAAATCGGTTTGCATGCATAGGTTGACGAATCGATCAATAAATTTTGTTTTTCATATCACACATCTGGCAACCATGGGAAAATACAAAAAAAAAACATTTTTCTTCAAGTGGCTGATTTTTATTTTAGAAAAAATGCTGAATAAGAAACTGAATTAAAAAAAAAATCTGAAGTAGTCTTTCGTGGTTGAAAAGTTACGGCCAGTCATAAATTACCGAATATTTGCCTTAAATAACATTGTTAAAATATAAAGCAAATGAATTTGGCACCATAGAGGTGATATAAAAACTAACCTCTTTAAAGGAATATACACCTAACCGTGCATGCGTTCGTGTCTGCGTGTGTCACGTAAGCCATTAGGGACGTAAAGCCATCACGTTTACTACAGGCGTAGCAGCAGTGGTATGTCTAGAGCAAGATAACCTGGCGGAGCCCATTCCTCTTTAGGCTGATTTCTGGAGTTTTCCTTCTCCTATACTGGTTGCCACTTCTAGGCAAGCTAACTGCTATTTAACCCATAGATGGGGGAAGAAGAATGCATGCTTTTTCCAAGGGCATTAGAGCGAAGTAGACGAAACAAAAGCAAACGGGAATTGAACTTGACACACGTAATTCACTTTCCGTGCTGATTTCATTACACGATTCACACCTCCATTTGCCTGCGCAAGACATGATAAATAGCTTTATCTACTTTTCCCGGATTCTCTCTTTATGAAAACAACCAAAAAATATCCAAAAATTACGTAGAAGCCTAGGAATGATTTTATACCATTACGTCAATGTCACTTTCCAGCCATCAGAATCGAACATTTTTTTGTTGTCTTCTCAATTCTTATGCCCTGGAGTCAACGCCGGATTATCCCTTGGGCTAGAATAGGCTGCAACCAAGGACCCCCAGGCTTTTATAAAAAAAATGATTTTAATTTTCTAGATGTTATAACTTCTAAACTCATATTTGATTTTGCATAAAGGAAAACAAAGTAAAGAATGTTTAAGCTTGTCTCATTGTTTCAAGTAGTTTATTTTTATAAAGCAGTGATTTTAATTTTCTAGATGTTAAACAGTTTCATAAAGTCAAATATCAATAAGACAAACTGATATTTTTTGATTTTTTTTCTTATTATTTAAAGCTGGTTATGTAATAAATTTGGGCATATAATTCCGACAGAGTTATAAGTTATTGACATTTGTAAAAACATTCATGAAAGTTTCGAAAATAATATCCGATAATGCAATTTCGCCTATATGGCTTCATCAGATGGTTAACGAAAAATGTGTTGTGTGCGTATGCATTTGTGTGTATTTAAATTTTTTTTAATTCACTCATTTTTTTTCTCTATTTTACTCTCGAGCAACGTCCGCTTGAGATAAGGTTTAATTATTTTAAACACATACAAATGCAAACACACACAACACATTTTTCGTTATCCATCTGATGAAGCCATATAGGAGAAAGGCATTCTCGGATATTATTTTCGAAACATATTTTCATCAGTAACTTATAAAACTGTCCAGAATTACATACCCAAATTTATTACATATACAACACAACACAACATATTACATTGCATGTAGACATGTGGTTCTGTTGTTAATATTTCGTTCTCTCACGTGGTACGACGTCATAGAAATGCATCATGAATTTAAGACCTGCGTCTGCTATTCCGCGACCGTTATCGTCGCATAATAAAACATATCCAAATGTTGGACAATTTTTGTCTTTATTTTCTCCTGAAATTAAAGCAAATATACGGAGTTTAGAATATATGTTGATGCAATATTTATATATATATATATGTTTGAATATATATATATATATATATATATATATTCCTTTGAGGACTCTTGCAGGGCCAACCTGAAGGAGAAACGTCGCAGGAAGAAGGACCGGAAGCCTCAGCAGCTATACCAGACCAGACCTTTAATTGCAGTCGCTACGGCCAGGTTTGTCTGTCCTGTATCGGCCTAGTTGGCCATCAGCGTGCTTGCGGTCAACGTGAACAGCCCACTTCATAAATCTTGCCAAGAACAGAAGATATATATATATATATATATATATATATATATATATATATATATATATATATCTTCTATTCTTGGCAAGACTATATATATGGACTCTCTCCGTCAGTTTCGACGTATGACGATTTGATTGATTCAGTTATGAAATTTTTTTGCGATAATTTTAAGTGGCAATTAAGACCAAAGGAGGCCACATATGGAGCAAGTGTGGATATTGTGAGATGAGATCACTGTTAGATTGGCTGGCCTTTTAGATCTTGCTCTCGCTCCTTCAAGATGATTCAGACAAGCAGATTGAAAATTACTGAGTCGACTAAAAGACGTTGATCTCCATTCTACCCGCTCCAAGGCTAAACGCTCAAGGGTGTTATGTGGTATATTAGTCTGGAGCAATGGCAACTTTGGAAAAATAATATACGATTTGATTATTTTAAACACACACACAAATATATACACAGACAGCACATTTTTCGTAATCCATCTGATGAAGCCATATAAGAGAAATGCATTATCGGATATTATTTTCGAAACATACTTTCATAAACGTTTTTCCAAATGTCAATAACTTATGAAGCTGGTTATAATTTTTTTTTTACTACGGTTGTGTTGAAACCTGTGTTAACTGTGTTTGTTGTAAATCGTAAAATAGTGGTATTTCTTAAAAAATATTTTTATTGACAAACAAAAGAAAGTTATACTAGTTTATTCAAAGAATTTGCAATAAGTTTAATTCAATGTCACTAAAATATATCATGAGTAAAAAATACTGAACACAGGTGCGGTGAGTTAGAGGGTAGCTCCGTCTGAAAGGGGCGCTATAACTAATTAGCCTAGGGGCCCAAAAAGTCATAATCCGGATCTGTCTGTAGTTTATAATAGCACAAGAGAAACATCGTAAATATTATGGCAATTTACCCACGCACGCATGGACACTCCCAGCTATAAGTAGGAGCAGGTACTGCCTTTTAGAGAGGGAAGTTTCCAGCAGTCAGCTCTGACAGTCGGACCGAACATTCTTGCTGTACCACTCTCGTTTGTATATGTTTGTATTACTGTTTCTGTTAATATATTTGTTTAACTCAGTTACTCTCTTGTGTCTTTATTTCTGGCCCCAAGAAGGCCACAACAACTTGGCGACGAGGACCCTTAAAAAAGGTACTGAGACTCCTGCGGAGATATACTTAAGAGGAGGTGTCATGGTAATTTACCCACGCACGCATGGACTCTTCCAGCTATAAATAGGAGCAGGTACTGCCTTTTTTGATAGGAAAGTTTCCAGTAGTCAGCTCTGACAGTCGGACCGAACATTCTTGCCATAACAATCTCGTTTGTATATGTTTGTATTACTGTTTCTGTTAATATATTTGTTTAACTCAATTCCTCTTTTTGTGTCTTTATTTTTGGCATTAACAAGGCCACAACAGTAAGGTATACATTTTTCTGGAAGGTAGACTTTTAAAATTTGGTCTTAGCAGTTTGAATAACCATTTCTCAAATTTTCTTGACGCTAAAATGCAATATGATTATTTTAAGGCAATGGTGAGCAACTAAGAAAAAAGTTTGTGGATTTTTTTTTTATCTTATCAATGACACACCACATATTTCAAACAAAATGATCAAAATATTTCCCCATGATTTACGATTTGCACCTACTGTGTATAGCATAAATTGATTGAGAAAAAAAAACTATTTGTTATATGATCAGAAACAAAGTTTTCTGTAGTCTCTTCGTCCCATAATTCTTTTTTTTTCTTTTTCGATATTGAATGACAACTGATAAAATTGATTCCAAATTATTCCACCTCGAACAACTTATATTGATGACTTAGTGCCATTTGAATGTTCAGTAAGTACAAGATGTTTTATGCCAAAGAAAAATATCTCTGAACTTTTTTTATAAATTTTATATCTGGGTTTGCTCATAAAGAAACTCTAAAGCCATTTTTTCAACGCGTCTTGGAACTTACGCAAACCTTTCATGACTAAACATTTTCGACTATTGTTACAACTTCATTTTAATTCAAGGTGTTGATCTAATAATGGCTTATATATTCAAATTTTAATTAATGTAGAGAGGTTTGAACAATATATCTAGAAACATTACAATAATGTATGTACAATTCAGTCTTGTTATATCAACTACGAAGATCTTTTTAATATTCTGGCTGAATTATGGTAATTCTTTTGTAATATTAAATATTATTTTATGCCTTTCATACTTTTTCTGTATCTTCTTAATTATTTCCTTATCCTTTCAAATCTGTCAATTTTTTGTGTAAATGTTTTGCAAATATGTACTAAATAAAATGAATAAGAAATGTAGAACTATTTCTGACGGCATCCAAGTTTGCGCCTTTCATTTGCTCTATTTCTTTATAAAGATTTTTGATGTATCGCAATTATCACGCCTTTCCATACACACTAGACTTTCACTAATTGTCTCATGATATCTCTTTCTTTCGTCGACATCCCCACCCACTAAATCAATAATCAATCTCGCTCTCTCTCTCTCTCCATACATATATATATATATATATATATATATATATATATATATATATATATATTACTTCAAACGTTATTATAGTGGATATTCGTTTCGTATTTGAAATAAACGCCACATTTTTATTTATTAAACTGTGTATATTACGTCTATCGGCCTGTTAATTCACGAAAGCATAGTAAAGAAAAATGCGTTCCTCGACTACGGTTGAATCTGCGTCTCTCTTTGTAGGGGAAAATGACGTTTAATCCAGTGTGCTTTACCGTTCAGCCACGGAGAACGGCGCACCAATCAAAGTTCAATTTCCTTTTCTTTTTTTTTTAAGGAAACGACATCCTTTTTATTATTTCTATTATTGACCGCAGATAATTTAAACCGAGGATAAGATGAACCATTGTATTTGAAGAGTTTTTTCTTTTTTTTTTAATTGGCACAAACATGCAAAGTAATAGTCTAGATTCTTGGTGCTAAACCACATGAGGTTGCCGTTCAGACGCACCATGGATCGATTAGATGCAACAGACTCTGGTCTTATTGAAGAAAGCGTAACAGGCGTACATGCGAACAAAACCATTTCACTCATATCTACTGTCTTATAGACACGATTCGGCAGTTACACTTTCTTTCTCCCAAGTTGCCTTGAACCATACTTCACTGTAACTTAAGTGGCAGATTGGATTTAGTTATCGAGCGTCTGATTGGATATAAATCTAAAAATAACTGGCCAAATAATTATTATCATTTTGAAGTCGAGACAGGGTTAAAGCGATGTCAGTGTTAAGTAAGCTGGCCATGCATCATGGTTGAATTTTATGCAACAGTTTTTTTTAATGTTGTTGTTCTGTCGGGTTTGATCGGAAGTGAGTATGTCAGACTCGCTCACTTGGATTCGGAATGAAATCTCGTGAGACATTTTCCGGCGAGAATAAAAGAAAGAGTTGAAAGAACAAACGAAAAGAAAGAAGGGACAAACGAAAGCGAGAGAAAAAGAAAGAAAGAAATGCTAATAAAAAGAAAGAAAGAAATACTAGCAAAAAGAAAGCAAGAAAGAAACAAAGAAAGAAAAATCTGCAATAAAAAATATTGAATCCCAAATGATGAAACAAAGAACATTCATTTCTACATCTTCCTCTCTTTTCTGTCTAATCTTCTCCCCTGTCTCTTAATTCTCCTTCAAATAGATACATATATCTAATATGTTTAGGCCAGGAACAACGCCACATTAATGGGTCATATCTTGAGGATAAACGTTATTGCACTAGTTTCTATCTGATGAGAATTGTTTGAAAAGCCCGAGGTGATGTATGTCAGTTACGACGCCCATTTTATTTGCCTTTACGTGAACCATTGTGTTTATCGACGGAAATATCAAGTTCATCTTGGTATCAATGGTGGTGTAGAGGACCTGGTGGTTTAAGTGTTGTTATATTAGAAACACGTGTGTAACTCTTGGTAGAATATTAAAAGGTCCAACTATAAGAAAATGGCCGTGTGTGTGTGAACGTTTGTGTCTGTTCTTTGGTGAATGTTCGTATTTTGGTGAATGTTCGTACGTACGTGTATGTATGTATAATGTTCATGGCGTCTTCCCACAAGTGGGAAACGATATCTTCTAAGAGAGCTTACATTGTAGTCGCTTAAATGAAGAAATGAAAAAGAGGATTTACCTCAATTCCACACAGGTGGGATGCGGCACGAGGCTTGGAGGAAAGAGAGATCGAGGCGAGAGGTCGCGCAGTATTTATAGTATAGGGAGAATGACCCATAGTGACAATTTGGGAATTAAGGAGGAGCTAACCCCAACAGTGGAATCTCTCCAGAAGTGACTGCAGCGTGTTTTAAAGGAGTTTATCAGGCACGTCAGCGCAAACTCATTGCAGCCTGCCATACATATGCACTTCGTAAGTCCTCTCTTAGACCAGCTCATACATACACCCTTGTGCAAATCAACTGAAACAAAACGAATAATTCCGGTATTATTTACTATTTTCGTATTTTTTCTATGAAACATGAGCCAGTGCACATGTTAGTACTTCGTATGTCCATTCCACGAACTCGTTCCTTGCAGATTGACCACATATTTTCGATTGGATTTAAATCAGGAGAGTTTCCAAGCCAATCTATAGTACTTTGATTTGTCACTGGTAAGGGTTGCTAGTGTGTTCGTGCAGCGTTACAATTTTCCTACGCTTCCTTGGAGTAACGTTCATCGCAGACAATGACCGTAGAACAACTAATCAACAGTCGAGACAATAGTGTCTGCCGTGATAAAAATCTGATGCAATCACGGATGACGCAATATCTTTCAAAACCAAACAAATTTCATCATAGACCCCGAAAATAAATTCATATTATTATACACCACAGCAAATGACCTAATCCGAGGAAAAAATAGAAATCGATTGCACCCTGTCACTCCAATGGATCTAAAACTGACCGTATGGTGGAAGAAAGGAAACTAAAGTGGTTGTTTCAATTAATTTACACAAGGGTATACATGATCACTGGGACTTAATTTCGAGCAATTCAATCGCGTGGTCCATTACTTTTATTTTAATTTTCTTCAAACAGACATTTTTTAATTAAAATATATTTAAGTTAAAGACTGACACAAAGAGATCCCGCTTTGCTGTCTTGTCCAATTATTTCTAGAGTAATTAATTATATCTCAGCTTTCCTTAAACAGACAATAGTTTCAATATTAAAATTATTTATTGGCATATTGCAAAATAATTTTAAGTTAATCTGATTTTAAAAAATACTTTAAGTGATTAAGATTTAAAAAAACGAGTTGTTTATATAGTAAGTAGTTTTATTTCAACTTTCTTCAAGTGTTTCATAACGGGAACCTTCAGTGACTCAGCAGATCCCGGGTATTATCAGTCAGTTATGTGCCTTTCGATACATCACTGACGAGGCAGATTTTTTTCCCGAAGTAGGTTGCCATTTATTTCTGCGGTGGACCAGTTGCCATCGAAGGCTATAGAACCCGGTTTGTTCTGCTATTTACCTATAGTTGGGGGGAAGAAGCACGTTAGCATGTTAGTGAATGTCGTCTGGAACTCGAACTCGGCTCTCCGATTCCTCAATGCGAGGTGCTATCGGTTACTCCACCAGTCTAGTGATGCATAAACACTGGTAAAACAAGGCGACAGGCGGAACTCTTTACTGCTGTGTCGAACAGGCTACACGTGTCGCGGTCGGTCGAGTGTTTGAGAGGAAGCTGATTGTGGGCCTTGTTTACAAGGAACGAAAAAAAGTTTAAAGCTTTTTTGCTACAATAAGTATGATTGCTATCATATATTTTGTTAAATTTGTTAAGCTAAAATATTTAACGATGCAACAGGGGAATTTCAACAGGTATTTTATAGTCGGGAAGATCACAAAGAGCTTATTTGATCGTTAAATACTAGAATACAACCAAAAAATTCAAATAGGAAAGCCGTGAAATCTTTATGGTTGCTACTAGGGTTCATTTATCTTCTCCCGATAAGAATGAGTGGCAGACGTCCGTTGGAATCTTTTGCAATATTGACTCCAGCCTCAATATAAGTACCACATATACTCATTTATCATGTAACTTTTGAAGACTTAATTTTGAAGGTAATTTTAAGAGGGTCGCATCATACATGCGGTATAGAATTGCGTCTGTACTGCTGGGCCTGGTGCGCCGTTGTCCAAACTATATACCCATTTATTGTAGTAAAGAGTACAGTTATATTTAAAATAAACATGATTTTGATAAAACTAATGTTTTACTTAATAATAGTGTATGCACCGAGAGCACAATGTACGAAAGAAAAACTCGAATCTTTCTACTCCATGGTAGACAACGTCAAGTCTCAGTGCAAGTTATAATTATCATGAGGCACTTAAATGCCAAAGTAGGCAAAGAGAGGACAGGAGAGATAGCTGGTAAATTCGAACTAGGAACCCGCAATGAAAGTGGAGAAAAAATAGTTCCAATGGTGCACAGCTAATGTCCTGTTCTCAAGAATATCCAAGAGGATTATGAACATGGAGAAGCCCAGGAGGAGAAAAACCAAACTGATTGCATAACCATCAACGAAAGATGCAAGAATTCAGTTGTTTTCTACAAAAACTATCCAAGTGCCGACTGCAGGAGCGACCATCTCGCTGCTATATGTAAACTAAGATTGAAACTACAAAAACAGAAGAAGCCTAACAGCAGCCAAATTGCAATACAACAGATTCCTGAACGACCCGAACCTGAAGGAAAATATATGGACAGTGTGAAAAGAAGTCACAAAATGGAAGCTTTAGTGATATCAACAAACGATATCATCCCAAAGGAGAATGGACGAAGAAGAAAAAAAAACGAATGGATCAGAGATGAGATTCTCGATATGATGTAAAGGAGGCAGAAAACAATGCCAAGACATGGAACAGAATACAGAAAACTGCACAGTGAAATAAGGAACAAATGCAGGCTGATAAAAGAAGAATTGTTCAATGAATAATGTGCAAAAATAGAATAAGCATCACAGATAAAAGAGATATGCATCAAAAATAAAGAAACCAACAGAACAGAAGAGATGTTCATCTACAGGCTGCATAAAATCCAAGGACGGAACGCTCATATTACAATAAATAAAAAAAAATTTCAGTCCTGGAATTAATATATTGGAACTCTCTTTCAGGACGAAAGAGAATAACCGGGAATACACAGAAATACTGATGGGCTGGAAATATTAAAAACCAAAGTGGAAGTTGCACTGGCCAAACTGAATAGAAACAAAACGGCAGGGCCAGACGGGATTGTAATAGAGATGCTGGCAGCCTTAGATGATTATAGACAAGATTACAAAATATAATAAATTAAACCTACAACAGTGGTGAAATACCGAAAGACCTAAGCAGATCTATTTACATAGCACTGCCTAATAAAACAGGCGCAAACTCCAACGAACAATCAGCCTAATGAGCCACATAACGAAACTCATCATTCGAATTCTGAAGAATAAAGCGAGCAACAGAATAAGGCCAGTGATAGGACAAGAACAGTGCGGGTTCGTTAAAGACACTGGAACAAGGAAGGCCAATATTTATGCGCAGAATGTTATCAGAAAGAACAATACAAATGCAGAATAACGTGTACCTATGTTTCATAGACTACGCAAAGGCATTCGACAAAGTACACCACAAAGAGCTGCTCAGCGACCTTGATATATTCGAGAAAGACATTAGAATAATCAAAAATCTCTACCGGCAGCAAACCGCCTGCATGTAGGTAAAAAATGAGTTCAGCAAGTATGTAAAAAATAGAAAGGACTGTAAGACAAGGATGTGTCTTCTCACCGGACTTATTCAGCCTATACAGAACTGAGAGAACTGGAAATTCTACCAGTATTCATCATTGGCGGCCACAATCATAACAATATAAGATATGCAGATGACACAGTGCTGATAGCAGACACAGAAAGAAAACTACAAAACCTCCTACAAAAGGTAGCGAAGGAGAGCGAGAAGAAGGGACTAAGTATAAACAACAGAAGACACTAAAATCAAGCAGGTACAGAAATTTAAATATCTGGGAACTGTTTTAACAGAAGACGGAAAGACGTATTTGGATGAGTAAAGATGCATTCCAAAAGCTAAGCAGAGTATTATGAGACAGGAAAATTTTCATTGGAAACAAAGAAAAGAGTACTGAACTGATACGTAGTATCTGTCACCCTTTAAGGCAGCGAATATGGTACAATCTCCTCAATGATGAAGATGAGATTCGATGAGTCAGAAATGTGGTTCTACAGAAGGATGCTGAGGATACCATGAGCCGAACATGCGTGCAACGGCGAGGCTTTACAGAAGATGCAAACAAAGAAGAAACTTATACTTAACATCTTGAAGAGGCAGCTGAAATTTCCGGACACGTAATGAGGAAGGATGCCTCTGATACTCACAGGACGGATACAGTTGCGTCTCTGTCCTTGGGGAACAGCTGCCCGAGGCCGCGCCTTCTCATTGCACTAGAGAGAAGGCTCGGTGCACGCACCGAGGCCAGCACAACCGACGGTTGTGGCGGATCGGGGAATTTTTGTTCCTTGCCCGGGTGTACTCGCTCGGGCTCCCCACATTAAACCGATCTTGTGTTACAACCTGACCCTGTGTGGGGGGTGGTGAGTAAATATCTACTCACAGGACGGATAGAGAGAAAGGACAGGGGAAAGCAACGCGTGTCATACTTAATGGGCTTGAGCAAGTGAATGGCAGAACAAGGTCTTGGTGAAATAACAAAAAGACAAAACATTATTAAGAGCTACAAGGGGCAGGAAGAGGTGGAGAGCCATGATCGCCTACGCCCCGAAGGGACACGGCTCATAAAAGAATAATATTCACACTTTAGTATTATACTATAAAATACAAACATAGCGAATATGTGTCTTTGTTTACGTTTATAAGATGTTTTGTTGTTTCTCGTTCGGTTGTTTATGTCTGTACGCGTTTACGCAGTGAGTATAGCGTTACTAACGATAGTTTTATCATTCTTTTTTTAACTTGTTTAACTAGAAGATGCGATAAAGAGATAGAAGAAAAGAAGTTAGTCTATTGTAATTTGGTCTCTCAAGAATGGAAAGGATACACAAGATATATGATAAAAATTGTGGGTCGCGCGATCTCTCGTATCGCGCGTTGCACTAGTATATAAAGTTTTCTTTCTCTTTTTGATACATTTCATAGAAAAGTACAGACCCCCTCCCGATGGACCATCATCTTATAAACAAACACCCACACAAATATACTAAATCCGTTTGTAATTAACATAAAATTAATTGTAGTCAATGTCGGACGCCTGCGTTTAATTTCATTTGTTTATGTCTCGATAGAAAATCATTCAGTCTTTTATTTATCTGGTCTTCCAAATCAATCTTTTCGTTTTTATTTTATTTACTATTTTACTCAATTCATAGCAATTCCTTCCTGCTGGTCTTACAGTTTTTCTACTTCCTTTCTTTTACTTTTCTGTTTTTGTGTTTCTTTCTTATTTCTAGTCTCATCATTCTTTCTTTCTTCCTTTTTTCTTCCTGTCTTTCTTTCTTTTTTCTTTCTTTCTTTCTTTCTTTTTTTCAGTGCTTCACTCAATGCATGTCTCTTTTCCTTTCTTTCTTTCTTTTTTCTTTCTCTCTTTCTTTCTTTCTTTCTGTCTTTATTTCTTTTCATTATCGTCTATCCATTTTTTCTTCATTTTCTATTTCCTTTTCTTTTTTACTGACATCCTATCTCTCTCTGTTTCTTTCGCTTTATGTTCCTTTATTTCCTTTCCTTCTTTTCTCGTTCTTTCTTTTCTTTTCTTTTCTTTTTTACTGCCATCATATTTCTTTCCATTTCTTTGTTTCTTTATTTCTATTTCTTTGTTTCATTTACCTTTCTTTCTTTTCTCTTTCCTTTTAATCTCAGCATATTTCTTTCCCTTTTTCTTTTTTCTTTCTTTCTTTCTTTCTTTCTTTCTTCTTACTGTCATCATATTTCTTAACCATTCTTTCAATTTCTCTTTTTTCCCATCTTTCTTTATTTCTTTCTATCTTTTTATCATCATCATTATTTATTTTAATTTCTTGCTTCATTTTCTCTTTTTGTCTTTCTCTCTTTCTTTCCTTCTTTCAAAGGTGTTTCATTTTTTTCACTTTCTTTCTTTTTCCGTTTTTCTGTTTCTTTTTTGCCGTTTACTGTTATCCGTATTTTCCAGTTTATTTCATTCCTTTTGCTCGCTCTATTTTTCTTCCTTTTTTTCTCCTTTTCTTTTTTTTTCCTTTACTTTTTATTACCATCTTTATTTCTTTGCATTTCTTTCTTTCAATCTAATCTCTTTTTTGTTTTTCTTTCTTTCTTTTTCTTGCGTCTTTTTTTCTTTTTCCTTTTAATCGAGACTATTATTTCTCCATAATAATAAAATGGAACAATTAAAACAAAATTTTGTGTTTCTTTCTTATTTCTATTCTAGAATAATCAAAAATATGTGTAATAAAAGTTATATGACAGAAGATTCGTTCTTACCGTAGATATTATTAGGTACAATAAGAGATTAACAACAATAACTAATAATAAAATAGAGCAATTATAACAATAGACTAATAAAAGTTATGTGACGGATAGAAGATTCGTCCTTACCGTAGAACGACACAATACACTATTATCAACAATAATAAGATAGAAAACTTACAACGAAGCAAAAGAAAACGTTATGTGTTAGCAGGAACTTTCGTTCTTGCCGTAGATCTTAGCAACCTCATAATACGATTTTTCATTTCTTATTAAGTGAAGAACTTTTACCTTTGCTCTGTTCTCATCTTTGTCGCCATATTTATTGCGTTACGAACTGAACACTTTATTTCGCTCACTGGGGTAGAATGTTCTCCCCTGTTAATTCCCCTCTCCTTAACCTGGTATTGAACTCGCTCTCTTTGGGTCCTGGCATTGTATTTAACCAACGCCTTTATCCACTCTGCCATGTGTACTTGAGGACATCTGTGCATGAATTTCTGGGTATTATAAACCTAATGTCTTCAGCAACCATTTTTACCAGTGCTCATATTGCAATTTTTGCTGTTATTATTGCTTTTCTCTGGTACTCACTTTTCATTCCTTCTTTCTCTTCTTTTTTTTTTTGTTTCTCCTATCTTTTTCTTCTGTGTATCATATTCGAATTGATTCATCATTTTTCTTCGCATCCTTTCTCCGTCCTTCATACTTTCATAATTTGATTCCAAAACTTCATCGTTTGCTCTCCCACTCATCGTCCTTTCTCTTCCACCTTTCTCACTTCTCTTTCATTTCCGTTATACATAACTCTTCACCCCCAACCCCAACTTCCTCTCATTGACACTCTCTGTTTTCAATCCTGCCCTTTCGCTTCAGGAATTAAAAATACATTAAATTTTATTCATTTAATAATGCAAGAAAACAAATACAACTTTTGCCTGTAATCAAATAAACATCCTGTTCGATATTGTTTCAATCGGCCAAGGGACTTTGAAAATGATTTGAAATTTAACGAAACATTCGAAGTTGTTTTTTTCTTTCATGGAAGCCATTCGGCCTCGTTATTGAAGTCCTACAGTATTCACCGTAATTAAATTAAATTTATGCTAATTATTAACAAGAATGAAAAACAAATATCGTTTATACTGTCTGAAGGCATAAATGACAATATTTTCATTTCGAAGTAAAATTTCCCGACATGTATTTAAAACATCTATATATATATATATATATATATATATATATATATATATATTTGTTTGAATAAAAACAGACCACTTTAAGGTTCCATGTCGAACATAGAACCTTAAAGTGGTCTGTTTTTTATTCAAACATATTTGACATGGAAGCTTAAAGTGGTCTGTTTTTTATTCAAACATATTTGCTCTGAAATTACATTGAGCTCTCCGGATATATTCTCTTTAGGTCTACCCATACGGATTACCCAGTTTTGTATAAACTATATATATATATATATATATATATATATATATATATAAATAAAAAATAAAAAGAAAGAACAAGATATCCCTTGTTCAATTTAAGTAGAATATTCTGTAACCATGGAAACGTGATTTTAGCTGTGTCTTTAAAACCCGGTAATTTTTAAAAGTTACTCCAAAATTCGCTTGAAGATGAAATGGAACTAATGCTTTTAATTTAATTGCAAAATTAAATTCAGGGTTTTCAGCTTCTATTTTTGAAACATGGTTGGAACTGTATAGCGAAAAAAAACATATTTTAAATCAATTAATTTATAATATATATATATATATATATATATATATATATATATATATATATATATATATGTATGTATGTATGTATATGTATGAACATTGAAGCCAACATCCAGAGGCAACAGACTGCTTCATGTTAAACGCAATCATCAGACCTTAGACATACATATATATATATATATATATATATATATATATATATATATATATATATATATATATAAAAAATTTGTAAAGTGGATATGACGCTTGAGTTGTATCGTAACGATGTGGGTTCGATTATCGTTAGTGGATGCCCTGATAATCCCAAATAGGACGAAACGGGCGTCCAGTGCTTTCTACATTCTGTTGAGGATTCTTCTAGACTCGATGAATTACTAGATATAAACATAATCAAACACAAACTAACATAAATAATTTCAAATTTTAAAAATAAATAAGTTTGTATGATGATCGAAAAAGCATGAAACCCAGTGTTACAAATTCACATCCTTACGACTGCAAACATGTTTATATATATATATATATATATATATATATATATATATATATATATATATATATATACGCGAATGTAATGAGAATGAAAATAATATAAATTCTAACGTTCATAGCATTAATTCAAAAGAGGGTTCAGTAGCAAGAGTAAAGCAATAATTATTTATTGTAATTTTTACATACGGACAAAAACAACTTGCTTCACTACAAAGATGCATTCTTGTTTCAATGCGGCTGCATCTCCACTGGTGAGAAACAAGAATGCAACTTTGTATTGAGCAAGTTGTTTTGTCCGCATGTAAAAATTAATATATATATATATATATATATATATATATATATATTGTCTATTTAGGCAGCTTTGACGTCACATATGACCAAGTGGTCATTTGTGGAGATACATAAAACATAATACATAAAACATTAATACATAAGATATAATACATAAAACAGTTGAAATCTAACCTGAACAAAATAAACTATGAAATCTCCACAAATCTTCTTAAATGCCTATAATTTATAACAGAAGCCATTGGTTTATACCAACGGCTTCTCATACTTACTACTAATCGTTTTTACTCTCGCGTTGTCATGTGTAACGTGATGAGCTGCGGTTCGATTTTCGCTCCAGCGTCTCGTATGCACGAATTTTTCGTTGCTTGGAAATCTTCCATGTAAACATAAATAGACTATCATTCTTGTTTTGTCCATGTATTGTTCAATATATTGTAATGTAACTGTCATCTTTGATAATGGCTTACGTAAGCCGAAAGCTTAGATAGGATTAAAAAAATGTATCAATATTGGGATTTTCTTTTCTCTTTTAATGATAATGTTATTAAGCTTATCAGACGATATGAAAAGAATTTACATAAAATAAATAGACAACACTCGTCTATATTATTGAATGAAACATGCATCAATATATATATATATATATATATATATATATATATATATATATATATATGCAAAGACAGTCTTAATGAAACAAGTGACAAGAAGAAAACCTTTTAATGTCCACGCGCTTCATTTCTTTCGAAATTTTATTTGGGAACCTGTATTTATTTGTACAGAGAACTACAACATTGAGTAGAGAGCAGTATGCGTTACTATTTGAATATGAGAACGCTTTAAGACAATCGAAAATCTATCGGCGTTTAAGAAAAGAAAAGAAAAAAAACTATGGCGAACGGCTTCCCTCTTTTCATTTCTTACGCACAAATCAACAACATAATTTACTCTATTACATAATATAAACTTTTTCTTACTAGACATTAAATTACGTCACATACGATCCTCCATAATTTTATTAGACTTTTCAGTTAACCTGATGTATATTTATGATCCACCTTCAATTCAAAATATATAAAAAATAACTTTTGTTTATAAATACTTGCAAAATAAAATCATTACAATTGCCTTAAAAAAATCGATCAGAAAACGAAACTTAGCATTGCCTAAGATAAATTTTACTTTGGTCTTCATTCATATCATATCATATATATATATATATATATTGCTGTAATAATTACTCCTATCCCAAGCCACATGAATATAAAAATGTTAACAAATTAAAAACAAATTCATATCCTCATCTTATCTATATATATATATAAAACAGAGGATATCTGTATGTCTGACTGTTTGTGTGATATCTTTTTATTCCATACGACCGAATTTGATCAAATTTGCCACATACATTGTACAATTCAAGAGATAGATTGTTAGCGTGAAAAATCGATAATTTTCAAAGAATCAATAATCGATAAAGCCGATCAAATATCGCAAATTCAATTTTTTTCCTTCGATTTCGTTCAAACTTGGTATGTAGGTTACTTACATCATGATGAGCTCAACGATACTTCATTCTTATTTCTACGCCACTGCGTTTAAGGAAAAGTCGCGAAAAAGGAAAAATCAATTTCAACCCAAATCGATTTCAACCCAAATCGATTTCAACCCAAATCGATTTCAACCCAAATCGATTTCAACACAAATTTTAAACTAAAAACTACATCAATTTTCAAGCAATCTAATACAAATTTCACTCAATTGTAGCCAACAATAAGCTGATTGTTTAACAGTCAATTAACTTGATAATTGAGTCCACCCATATCGTGAAAAACCCTCATAAATTGCGAAAAATGGCAATATTTACAGGTTTCTTTCTTATTTTTCATTTATTTTTCAACCAATTTTCATCAAATTTAACAATTGCTTTATAAATGTATCCTCTT